AACCCGCCCAGTGACGTCACGGAGAAGAAGCAGCTCCAACCAATAAAATCACTTTAGGGGGATCGCCATAAGGGAAAAAAAATATATGTAAAGCTCCATTCTTGATTGATTCATTCTCTCTGTGGTACTAGGTGAGTGAAGGGAAGATGAAGGAGGGTTGTACTCCGTTACACTGTTTGCGTCTGTTACACCCCCTCAAAGTGCCAGAAAAATCTGTTAGTTACAGTATAAACCTTCAAGTAAAATCTAAGTTTTGTAGAATTTTATGATTTCTTACATTTTCTTACTCCCAGATAATTTTCTAACCCTATCTGATATGAAACTTTCGAGTGTTTTGATTTTTAAAATATTTTCGAAATTTTGTTGTTTTCGAAAAAGTCAGAATTTCAAAAAAGTTAAATTTAACGTTGTATATGAGAAAGCAACTATTTAGGACCACAATAGTGCAAGAATTTTCAAAATCTGAGAAAAACTGAATTTTTTGTGAAGATGTAAACGAGCAAAAACAGTTTTCTTTTGCTCTTTGAGTGGGTGTGGTAAGGCCAAACGGAGGCATGGAGGGAAACCCTCTTTCACTTTTACTACACTCCCCCAGTACTACAACATATGCGAAGGGCATCAAAATCGGAGATCAGAATTTAAAATCTGTAATTCCTATTGAGTTACATGCATTTTATGAAACACGGGTTTACTTATTTATCTAATAGTAAGGTTACCTAACTATCATGGTTTCGTCAAAATCCGAGCGAGACCGCTGGAGTCTTTGCACTGTGCGCGCAATCTGCCAGTTCTACACTCAGTTGCTGAAAATGTGATTTTATTGAAACGATATTTTAATTAAGCCTTTTTCGTTAACGAAACGGCAATTACACGCAATTACCTTGCACTGAATCAAGTGTATGCTTGCCTAAGAACCACGAAATTTTCCTATTTTCATAAGTCTTGCCAAATCTGTCAGGGACAGGGGCCCCCAGCGAATCTGTGCCTACCGGCCCCAAATTGATAGTTCCGCTAGTGGCTCGACATCGATTCATAAATTTAAGTTGTAATTTGGGACGAAGTAATAAATGACGTGAGATAAAGTGAAATAAAATAAGTTTGGATGAAAATAACTAAATGTGAATGAATACCTTCACTCAGAAATCGAGATGACTGAACTTTGAATTTTTTTTGAACAGGTGTGCTTAGATACTTACCAATCACCATAAATAATGAAAGGATATCTTCACTCAGAAGTCTAGATGAATGAACTTGGAGCGAATTTTTTTTTTGAACATGTGTGTTTATCAAACGGTAGGATATTCTTACCAACCGCCATAAATAATGAAGGGCCACCTCTGCTGGCGAGAAGCTCGACTCGTTCCGTTCTGACCCCTTCCAAGCGGCGCGAGGGGGTCAGATTGTGACTAAAAATGGTTCAAAAAAGTATTTTTAAACTGCAAGACTTCATTGAGATTCATCATGAATGTACCATTTGCATCCCGTCGTTTACAAAGTTCAAATGAGCTCCGGCACAATTCTGGAGAAATCCTAAGGTCACCAGCACCTGAAAGTTGGCAAGGATTCAGTTTACATGCTCATTTGGCAAATTATAACATGTATGTAAAATGTTTTATGTACTATAATTTTATAGTAAAAATATACCGTGTCCCAGGGTAGGTTAGACAATGATCCATGACCTGGGAAATTTGACCTGATTGAAATATTTTTATAAAACCTTTGGGGTGGTGTAGGTGGGAATCCTACCAACCAGTTTTTGTACCGGAGGATTTTTCTTAATCCGTTCCTAGCCACCAATCCGAATTTCCGCACCAACCCTCAAATTTGCGATTTTCACTCGCTTTCCAAATGGTCTTGCTGATTTTTCGCCGTTAGCGTTTGAATTCTTCCAGCTTTTCTGCATTGGAGTTTAGGTTAGAGTATGTTGTTTTGCAAAAGGCATAAAACTTTTCGATTGGTTACAATTGAGGGACATTTCAGGGGTAATCTTTTTAAAGCACAAAATCGACTCCTTGAGCCCCGAAGTACGCGGTTCAAATTTTGCCGTAATAGGCAGTTACGAGGTCCGGAAAAAATCAAATTTCATTCCGATTATGAATATTCCTTATCAAGAGCTGTGACCGATTCAAAAACTCGTTTTTGTTAACTTTTGTATTTATGGTACCTTTTCAAATATAAGCTGGCAAAATGTTGCCAAAACTGCCAGGCGTAGCCAAACTAGGAGTTTCACAAGGAATTTGGTTTTCACTTTAAACTCACGTTGATATTCCACATCCGAGGGGTTGGCGGAGCGAAAAAATTTCAATCCCGGAGTCTCTGAGTGATCAACTTTGCCGTAGTGTCCGTCATAAATATTGATAATTTTTAATGACATTTATCGACAATATTTTTTATAATTTTTTTGTACTTTGCTTTTGTGGTCCTTAACGTTCTTTGGGAGACATTGTTTATTTTTTTTCGTAATCCTCAGTTTATGATCTTAAATGTTGTGGAACAAAAATTTTGAAAATAGCAGTAATCGAGCAGCGCGACGAATTTACGTGGAAGAGTTAGTACTGAAAAGTATCTTTACGTCTTTTGAGATTTGATCGCTGGCTATCAAAAGAGGTGGCAGGGAAATTTTTAAAAATTGCACTTTTTGGCATCCTCATACTTCGAAATATAAAAGTAGCTTGCCGTTTTGTGACACCTTTCAGCGTTGAAGTACTGCCACGTCATGTTCGAGTCACGTCAACCGACAATTTTTTAATTGTGAAAAACTCGATTTGCGAAGTTCTCACTTTGACCCCTATTTCTATTGAATTTCGTCGTTTTAATAAAAAATGCTTTACATCTGCTGGAAGCCCTTGAAATTGCGTTTCGAAAAATGAGGATAGCTTAGCAACAATCCCCACGATTTGCTCAGTATACTATATAATCCAACTGTCTAACCAAACCTGGGACATGCCTTAGTACAATCAGTCGTTTAAATAATTTTGAAATACTGGGGGGTTGAATATTTTCATTAAAAATTTTAATAAACATTTCAAAAACGTTCAGAAATATAGGTGGTCTCGTCGGAATACATGGGTGTGGTTTGTAAAAGCAATTTATTCAGAAATATGTACACTTACCATGCTCAGATTTGCTTTTTTGAGCTTCATTACTTACAGAATGTCTGTTTAGCAGGTTATCTTGCTTCTGCTCCTCAAGTATTGAAGTATTGACACTTTGTCCTTCCTTTTTATACCCACTAAAAAGTTGACTCGCATTTTTTAGCCAATACAAAATAATTGAGGTGATTGAGTATGGTTTTTAATTTACTCTGGCACGATGATCGACCCCTGAGTCGGAAAGCAGGTCTCATTTTTTAAACTACAAACCGCATCATCCTGGCTACCGCAATTTTTTAACGTGTAATCTGTACCCATAAATGCAACTTGCTTAGGCCAGTGTGACTAAAAATGTACAAAAGTAGTGTGCTGACCACACACATATGTACATAAATACAGATATTTAAAAAAATGTGCATGCAAAAGTTACCTATGTGGTCACGACACATATTTTGTCGGTCGACTACGGCAGGGCATGTTAGTTTACATACTTAAATACTTACGCATTCATCAAATGTGCTTTGTGTTTCGGTATGCACTGCATGCTATACCGTCTTATTAATTTATATATTATTTAGTCACATTAAATATTGTAGTCACATTAGTCACATTACTTGTTACATACAGTATGAAACTGGGACAATCCGCTATTCACTCGAATGTCAAAATTCCGCCGGTACTCTTACGTATAGCGTAACCATTACTTTTTTTATATAAGTTGACATATGTCTACCCCCTGGAAACGTCTTATAATTTAAATCATACATACATAATATGCATAAGTTCTGATGCCTTTATAAATTAACAAGTCTATTTAATAATAAGTATGTAAATTATCATAGAATTTGTATCTCTAAATTTAATCGTTTCACTCTTACATACTTCTCGGAATCGAATCATTCATTGGACAAAATCTTTCCATAACTTTAAAACGAAATATGAATAATAATCACCCCATATTCTTGGTTCGGTCTGCATTAAACTGAATTATGGACCATGCATTATGCATGTCATACATTATACGTGTAATTACAGCTCAAATCAGTCTCTCATATTAAATCGAGTAACGTGATAATTATTATGGGATACATCTTGTACAAAAATTGGTCACGCTCTTTCCGCACGGCCCAATATGTACCTGTGACCATGAGAATTCTGCCCAGTGACGTTTGCCACTTGGACATACCTACCACAAAAAATAAGCTATTTCAATTGTAAATTAGTCTTCGCACTCGGTACCCTAAATATAACAACAAAAAATAACAATTGTTTTTTTACGGTGTATGTATTTTTATGTATGTATGTACACTCTTAAAAATAATACTACCCTATTGAAATGTAAATTCAGTTTGAGTTCCATCTTGCATATAATATACAGAAATACATAAATCTAGAGTATCGTTATAACTTGATAACGTGCGAAGTATGCCTGGATTTAGACTAGTTTGCTTAATTTAGGATTCAGGTTGCCTTTAAGGGTGAGATTATTTGTTAGACTTGATAATAAAGAAATTTGTAAACCAACTAAACCATTTGCTGAATCAATGCATCATGTAAATCATTTTGTAATGATTTTACGCAGATTTCTCCATAATTTGACTTTTAAGAGTGTAGCTATTTCAGGTGCAGATTAGTCTGTACGGATAAGTTATGAGGGAACCGTGCGTGAAAGATGTCACAAAACTGTTTTAATTTTACTCTATCCCCCTCTGTCCTTGCTGTTAGTAGTGCTAAATAATATGCAAATAATTAATATGATGTCCGCTCCTAATTAAACTTATCGATCCTTTATGCGGGGTCCCTCGCTATGATTTTTGTTCTGCTCGTCAGAGACAGTCTCATTTTCCAAGTAAGCCCATTCTTCTACAGGGTAAATGAGTAGTTAATTTACCTTTACGTACTACCCGGAGATCGTTACCGTCATTATCACCATGCAAAAACCCTCGCTATAAAAAGGATTCCGAACCAAGTCAAAGTCATGCATAAGCCATTCAAAGGTTCGAGAAAACTCTTAACTAACAAAAATTTTCCAGCTCCTCTAAACCAAGTATACAATCAGGTAAGTTAAACATCTTGTAAAAAATACTTTCAAGTAGGGTTTTACATTTTCAGTGTCAACAGAATAAATGTCATGTCATGTCATAAATGTCATGACATGTCAATTTGTGAATTTTTTGTCATAAATGTCAAAGCTTCAAAAGGTATGACATTTATGACAAATATTACGGACATTTATGACATTTGTCATAATTGTCAATCTCAATATGCCCCGTGACCAGGTAATCTTGGTAGCAGCTATTAAAACTCTTCTTTCCCTCATTGCAATTCAACGAGTCAGCAAATGTTCTTGTTAAATCGCCATCCACTCGTATTTATATATATCTAAGGATAAGTATAACGTCAAATTTAATTACGACCGTTCACAATTTCATTGAAGAAGTTTTAGGAATTTCCTCTTTTCAGTCTGCTTCAATTTTGTTTATAGTTCTCTTAGTTTGATTGCCAAGTAAGATTCAGTCTCCCGGTCTACAATTGTAAATATTTAAACGTTGTAGCATTGGTAGCAGCCAAGCAACCAAAATCTGCAAATAATGTACCAAATTTGTACAACTGGATTAATGCACATTTGCCGTTAAAATGTGAAGCCGACTTGTGCTTATTTTGTACAAGTCGCATTTGCAAAATTCATACCAATAATTTATCACTGCAAGTTTACTTGTACCAAATATGCACAAAATTAACACAAACAAATGTGTACGAATTTTGTGTAAATTTGGTGATGATTGACATGCATTAATGAGGTGAGAATTTAGTGCGAATTTAGTGCGAATCTATTACTAATTGTGTGCTAATGGTACGCATGAAATTAATACAAATTCATTTACACGTATTACTCACATTTCAATTATTATTTATTTATTACAAATTCATCTGCTGTACATATTTCTTATGTTATGTAATGTTAGGTATCTCCAAATACTTAACTAATTAATAGATAATTGCAAATTGGGATACACAAATATTTATCGCAATTAATCGGTAGAATACGTACTTACGGCGTATAGAGAAAGACTAAATTAAAATGAATTCCTGAGAAATGCCTCACTATTCACCTCAGGCTCTTTTGCTGATAATTTAGGGCGATGCCGTTATCACATGAGTCGATAGGTTTATTCCTTGTATGTGTTCTCAACGTATGAATCTATAAATTAAGCAAAACGTATATTTACATAAATAACCCGAATATATATTAATGCAAAATTAGCCAACAACAATATGTATATATGTAATTACCGTATTTTTCGACATATAACATGCCATGAGTCGTCCAATCTTTTGAAATCCACGTAGACGGCACAATCTCCACTCATTTGTCGACTTCAAACTCGAGGAATACGAACTTTTGTCCGAAATAGGATTTCGATTTTCGACCCTAACTGTCGAAACAAATTTTTTGGTTGGAAGTTAAAAATGGAGAAGAAATGATGGAGTTGATGTCACGGCATGGCAAAAAGAATAACTGACTTCAGGTTTGTTTATTTAATCGCGAATATAGAAATGATACTAATTTAGTAGTAAATTATTGCAGAATAATTGGTACGAATTTTGTGTGAATATGCTGGCACCTGTTTACTGCATGTTGAGTTTGTACAATTTTCAAGGCACGAATTATACATGAATTTGGTGCAAGAAATCTTATGAAAATTTAGTGCTAACAAATACGCACTAAATCTTCACTTGTTCCTTTGTAGTAATTTGCTACTAATTAATTTGTGATAGTTTAGTGGATTTCTTGTGCTAATTTATTAGCAGCACAAAAATTGATACAAATTTTGCACAAAAGCACAAAATTGATACACGAATCTTGTACAAATTAATGATTACAACTTTTTATGCACAAAAATTGCATAAACTTGCATTGGGATTCGCAGTAAATTCGCATTGAGGTTGCTTGGGAGTCATCTCAATTAGTTGCAGTTAACTCTACCTAGTTGATCGTAAGTAGAAACTTTTAGAAAATATTCACCGAGCTGGCTGCAACTTCCTGTATATCCCGCTGGATGAATTATGTATCGAGTGAATTAATATATAACTCTGTAGACAACCAGTAGTCCAAGCTTCATATTGCTCTCATGTTTAACGAAAAACATTTTATGCCATAAGAAAAGACAGACTTCAGGTCAATATCATTGGAAGCAACATGCAAGGAATCGGCCAACTCTTCCAAATAAATGCTCCAAATAAAACGGATGATCAGAGACAAACGGAATAAGTTATAATTTTACGAACGGAAGTCGTCAATATAATATTTTAAGTGTCGTTCGTAGTGAAAAAGTATATGAGAGGAAAGATGTGTAGCTGAGAAACAAAATATACCGCCTACGATGACTTTTTGTTTGGGAAAAATGCAATAAACAGTGAAAATGTCATAATTGTCAATGACAAGTTGACAGAAAAATTGACAATTTCGAATTTGACAAATTTTCATAAATGTCATAATTGTCAATAAAAATAAATGTCTGACATTTATGACATTTATGACATTTATGACATGTCAAAATGTCATGACAAGTTGACAATGTAAAACCCTACTTTCAAGATTTCAATTTCTCTGATTCTTTATTTGTTTTCAATAAAAAAAGTTAGTGAAACCTATAATTTTTAAGAAAATAAAATATTATACCTGACCGAAATTCAAAATTTTTGTGATAGATCAAAATTCTATTACTCTTTGAGCTTGAACGCTTCGAATTTTTCCATGACTCAAAAATTTTTTGAAAAATTTCAATTTTGAAAACTTAAGATATCTGATTAAGAGTCCGATTTCTTGCACTTCTAAGGAAAATAGTTTGAAGAAATGCAAGCAATATATAAGCTGGTCCTTTATACCACACTGGTTATGAAAAATTGTGTCACGTGGGTTTAACTTTCATTTTTTGTTGCACTACTGCAAGAAATGATGCCTGCAAACAAATAACAATTTCGTGCAAATATTATTTACAAGTGGGTTCATGTTAAAAATTAATTTATGTCCCGTTTCATTTTCAGAAATGCAGTCGTCTCGAATTGTCCTCCTTTGCGCTGTGGTCCTCGTGGTTGTCGTTTCCGTAACTGAGGGGCAAATTGGGAGCACGGGGTGCAGTCGGAAGTGGGCGCCGGCCGGGTGGTGTTGGCGGTACTGTTCGGGATCTTCGGGGAGCTGGTGTTACACGGGAAATCAAGGGCCATGTGAGACGGCCTCCTGCACGGGCGGATCCTGTTCTGGCATCAGCTGCGAAGGAGCGGATGGTGGGTGTGTCGGCCATTGTTCTTAATTTTAATCAAGTAAATTCAGATACAGGAATTAACATATTTACTACTTCAAAATCTTCAAATTAATCAATTCATTTCCACTATTCTTTACTTTATGATTATAGATTCATTAATAAAATTTATTAATGCAACCTTCATCCACCATGTTTCTATCGTTTACACTTTACGTTTATTTTTATTCGAATTTCATGGCAGTAAGAAATTTTACCACCCGATTGTCACGGATCGGTAACTTCATGTGACTCGACGGGATGATGCCCATACGTCACCGCTCTGTCACACCTTGATTTCCGCATGGAAATTAGCTACCACTAACTCGGTGATCAAAATGCAAAAAGCTTGGTTCGCATTATGTAAGTTCCTTACTCAACAAGTAAAATTAATTATGCACAATACGCAATAAGAATCTGTGACATTTGTGGATATTTTTTCAAAATTGTTATTTATTTTTGTTTTATTTTATTTTCGAGATACATGCAGGTATATTTATTCTTGGAATTTTAGACAATAGAAGAAATTAAAAAACCTGTTCTTAATTTTTAATTGATTAGAATGGACGATAATTAGATTGTTCCAGCAAGACAGCCATAAAAATAATAGTCCTTGTCTTTCAAAAGACATATCATTAATTAAGATGGAAATTTTAAAAATCCCGAAAAAACGCAGGAAGTCTTTCATTGAAATTCACAACCAACGTGTGAATATTTTAAATTTTAAGTTCGCAAAATTTACACATAATTAGGCGGCACCTCTTGAATAAAGGTCAGGAAACATGTACAAGCGCTGAAATACATTGGATGATTTTTTAAAAATTATAACTCGTCTTTTTAATCTTTCCAATAATTGTTGTCCCAAGTGGGAAAGTGTTTTTTGAAAACGTCTGCTTCATAACGTTGCTTCAGAACGATCGCTACCGTCACGCATATTCCTCCCGAACGCATGTAGCTTGTTGCAATGTAATCCTATAAAAAAATCATACTAATATTTTACAAATTTATTGATCTGGACCCTTCAAAATAGTGTTGTGCTTGTGAAAAATAAATGCAACGTGAATTTAATCAAGAGTAAATTTCACTCTGGATTTAGGACAATTTACTTAAAGTTCAGAGTGCATTTACTTTTCAAACGGTTAATATTATCTTTAAGCGTGTATGTGCATACATCAGCCAGACGATGCGAGTAAATTTTCTCTTCGGGCGTTGACCCTTTCCCGATCCAAATGAAAATTTCGTCCCCACCAGAGTCAAGCACCATTACGTCGTCCTCCTCCAAATCCTAAAAATTGAAGTAAAGTAAAGTATTAAATTAAATTAAATCCATGAATAATATGCCAAAAGGAGTTGATAGACTACAAGATCATGCATTAATTCGTGGAAGTAAGATCTACATAGGTAAGTAATATCTTGTGGGGATCATGGGGGTGGAGGAATCCAGCATCATTAATTAAACAATCACCTCCTGCCGGAAGTTGAAGACTTCTTCCACCACCAACTTTTTCTTTCCGAGTGGGATATAGCAGTGAAATAGTCTCGGTCCACCAATGCGACGCTCTGGCTTCGTCATTCTTCCAAGTGCATCGTTATAAGGTCCTTTACCCCCGAGGAGCTCGAAAAATTCTGGAGGCTCCTCTCCTTCCTGTACTTCGATTTTTGTGCCATCTGGAGCCACAAGGTCTGAAATTCCTTTCCCCGTTTCTATCTCTCTCTCAGAGGCACTTGTTCCAATCCAGATGTAAGTTTGCCCTCCTAAATAAATGAACAATTGGTTAGTACTTTTAACCAAACTTGTGTTAATAGATCACAAATTAAACTAATATGAAATTTTCCAAAAACACTCCTAATGCAGGGGTTCAATGCAGATTTTTGCATCCGAAGAGTAGAAAATGCGTAGATAATTTGGGAGGTGAAAATTGCCGACTTCTAGACCATTGTTTTTCTCTCTGGATGCAAATATCTGTGCCAAACCTACATATGGTGCTATTTTGTAAACTTTGCAGTAACAAAATTTGAGATGGATTGGCATTAATTTGGTCAAAGTTGGAGGCCTTAATTGTTAGTATAGTAGCTAATGAATTATATACTTAATTAAGAAAACCTTTATCATTTAAAATAAAGACATCATCGGAATCCAAGGAACCGGACTTCAGCTCCACTTCAACCGCTCTCGTGTCCCAGTCACACGTTCCTCGAACATGAAACAATCTGCCTTGCTCCTCTCCTTCAATTTCCTCATTTTCTTCTCCAACTTTCTTAAAGGCGGAGACATGGCCCCCCAAATATACGACCATTCTTCCTTTAAAAATTCTTAAAAAGTGGCTAGGCTCCTCCCCCTGTAGGACTCGAACCATAACCGCTCTCAGCTGCAGCTCTTCATCCAGCTTTACCGCGTGCATGGCAGAAGCCCCAATTTCATCCGAGGTGGAATCCTAAGTTTTAGTTTAATAAATTGCTTAATAAGATACTAGTAATTATTGCAATTGATCAATGTTAATGTTGATAGCAGTGTCATCCTTGCGAGACCTAACAAATGTAAAACAATAAGACATACCTTCCCTTGCCAATAGTAGAGTATATATTTCTCCTCTCCATCTTCCTCGTACGTGTATCGAAGAACGTAGGAATCCCCTCGGTAAAATACTCCATATTTTTCTGCCGGAACGGGGGCCAGTTGAAAGTTTTCTACTCGCCAGAGTTCTGCTTTCCCAGAACCATCATCGGGACAGAAGTCGTTGCAACTTCCTTGGTGTTTAGCAAGCTTTTTGGGTTTTTCTTCTTTTTCTATAGAGTCTGTCCACGTCGTAAAGTATTGCTTAAAAGCTGTAGTTTCGGCGCCACCAAGGACTTTTTGAATATTGGTCCATAAAGGGTAGCCTTTTGATTTCAAGAATTTTTCGGCGCAAGAAAATGCTTCCGTCTTTTCTGTCTGGGCGGAGGAGCTTCCCAGCCAGACGAAGATGTCGGGGACGCCACTAGGGTCCAGGATGAAGCAGTCGGAGGGATTTAGCATTTCAGAGGATAAGTTGTCGACCCCAATTTTATCGACGAGCATTGAGCCGCTTGAGTCACTAACTCGATATAACGTGACTGATGTCTTTTTCTGAAAAATCCAATAGCATTTTATAAATTAAACCTTTTATTAATGTTTAGCTAAAATTTTTACATGATGAAGGCCCCATGCCAAATATAATAATTAAATTAAATTCAAGTAACAACGATTAACCTAAAAATTCTCACATTTTGCACTTCCACATTTGCCATTTCGTCATCATCATCATCCTCTTCTGGTGGATCTGCCAGTAAATCCCTCGTCCCACCTCCGAGTGCAGCAAAGAAATCTTCAACCACGGATTGCTCCGAATTTTGTTTGACTTGTATGATTTCAATATCATTTTCATCCCCACTGTAGTCTTGAGCTTTAATGTTCCCTGCCGCATGAAGAGCCTTGTATCGCTCACAGCTTTTGGAAAATTTACCAAAGTAGACCCAGATCTGGGTGGGCGTGCAGAGAATAAAGCAGTCCCCTTTATTCATTGAAGTTACTGATACCGTAGCCAACTGAAAAAATTCAAAAATTTTAATGTTAAGATTAATTTTTAAATGATTATTTAAATGATTATGCAAATTTAGGAAGCCAAGTCAGGTCATGATAAAAGCGGCGACATTTCATTTTGCATGAAAATCGGAGGAGCATTTATTATTTCCAATGAAACCCAAGTAAAATCTCTCGCTCCAACGGAACAAAGTCAAATTACATATGCGGATGAAGGAGAAATAGACCTACACAACTCAACTAATATTCGTTGCTTTGCTGTTGCTTCAACACACAGCAAGTATTATTTATACGTATGTATGTATGTACAAACTGTACTGCATGGTGAACATTATTTAACCAATTTAATGTTAAAACCCTTGTGTCGTGGTTGGATTTGTGAGCAATTCCAATTCAATGCCATCCGTGTGTAATAAATATTGTAAAGTAGTATAAAATATATTTATGTAAAAAGGACCCGTCCATTTTTAGTCCGGTCTGGAAATATACTCCAGGATGTATAAATTCAATATGCATTCCAAGCTAAAACGGAAACTGAAAGCAAACACCAAAACCCTCAATTTTGCTGGAGAGATTATTATAGACCAATCATCATTTGAAAAAATCTCAAATTGCGAATAATTAGAAATTTAGCATGTCGGATCATTAATGTTGCAATACGCTCATAATCATAAACGTGCATGTACATATGTATATATGCCAAAATAGTAATACCCAAACTAATCTTAATCGTTATTTAAAGTGGCATAATCTGCTCACGTGTAGTAATTCACAAAAGTTTCTCCACATCATAAAACTTTACACAAATCCTCAAGCGCAAAAGCGGGATGCATGTAAGTAATTAATTTTTACCTGAGTTACTCTCACATTCCGTTTTCCCTTGACCTGATACAGCTTAGTGGATGGGTCTACTTCATCAATATATCGAACGCCATTGGTAAAGAGGGCACAGAAAATGGCACATTCATGCCCCTCACATTCCCGATACGCCACTGGAGCAGGGTCAAGAAGGTCACCCAGCTTTTGAGCGAAGGCTGCCACAACATCCTTGTCCGCGGCGGAGGACTTTTTTCCAATCCAGAAATGCAGGCTGCGTTCCAAACCTTCAGTTGTCTAAACGGAAAACAAAAAAATTTACAAAATTCTGATAAGTCCCGAAGAAAATGGAATAAGTATAAATATGTACGTTTAAAGCAAGGTAACACTTGTCACTATAAAATTTCCCGTGATCAGCAGCATCAACTTTTACGAGGTTTCCATCCTGGAAATATTACACTCTTATAAATAATGTTACACATTTGCAAAGTACATAAATGCATTCTGAATTCAATGTTAAGCAAACTTAACAAAATCTTTAGTCTGAATTTAGTATAGTTTACTGAATGTGGAACTCAGAGTGCATTTACTCATCAGAAGGGCGGCATTATTTTTAAGAGTGTCAGCAATTATGTATGTAAATACTTTATTTTATCGAAGTATTTCGCAATTAAATTACATTCTTACCTCAACTTTCCACACTTCAATTCCAGCCTGCACTCCGGCTTCGCCAAATTCTTCCATATTTTAAATAACTCAACACTAACTGAAATATTTATTATTTGCTTCGACTTCAGATAGGAAATAATGACAAGTGTAACAGTTGTACTCGCCCCGGAAATATTTGTTACACAGACGAATAATTTTATGTTTGGCCTAAATTACAAGTACGTACGTTGCGACCAGATGGGAATGAATCTTGCGAGTGAAAGTGCAAAGTTGGAGTGGGGAAAGTTCTATCGATCGTGTTATGTAGCTCAATTCACTGCGGAAAAGTTCTTTGCCAAGTCAATTGCAATGTAAACACACGTTTATTGTTACACTGCACGGAGTAAAACCATCATACATGATGGCGAGATACTTATCACGGTTGAGTTGAATATCCGGTTTTTTGGATAATCCCTCCCTGGATCGGATCGCACATATTTCTTCAACGTTGATTCGACTCTACTCTGTCATTTGCTGCGACACCAAATACTAGAATCCGAGATATGTACATATGCAAATGCACACATAAAATTGCTGCCCGGCAATATTATTTATTTCGTAAAACAATAAGTTGAAGTAAATAAATTTAAATTGAACACGAATGTGTACGCACATATGTGCATCTATTATTTACAGAGGGCGGATATGTATGAACATAAATTCCGCAAAATATGTATTTGTGTAATTTGTTAATAAAAAACCCCAAAAATTTGCGCATAAAATTTTTTTACTTAAAGTTTCTACTATATTTAAACTGATGGTGAGGAAACCTGACGAAAAATGTTGTTACACAAAAACCCTCGAAATATCTAATAGAATATTTATATTTAGAAAAATACGCGAAACATACAGGAAAATATACATATGTACGAAAAATCCTCAAAATATGTATACATAGTTTCATATATGAAAATATGTAACATGTACCCTAAATACCCTAAAATATGAAAAACTATGTTTGAATTTTTGCGATCGTGCTTAGATGAGATGTTATTATACGAAGTTTTAGTACGATACGATTTGTCATGAAAAAGTTATAAATACATATGTGCATATCCGCCGTCGGATTATTTACATCTGTTAATATGCTTATTATTGGTTATCTAACTGTAAGAAATCTCTACTACCAAGTACCGAAAGACTTTTCGAGAGTGTAACCATTTATATTAGACAACTTCATACACATTTCTTAATTTTATCAAATGCTTTATGCATTTTCATGGAAATCCTTTGTCTCCTGCAAAGCATTGCACGGATTCTCGCGAATGGAGAATTTTTGGCACGAGTTTGATTCCGCCTGTTCCTCTGCTCCGTGATTTCTTGTTTTTACTTAAACCACACTGAATATGCACTATTTAGTAAATATTTTTACTATTTTACGCATTTTTTTAGCTGGCTGAAATCACAAATAGATTAAAGTTTCCGTTCCCCAGTAAGTAAGTCAAATATCCAGTTAAACTTGGACCGTGAGCTGGTTAAAATCGTAATTCCGGATAAGATTTTTTGGAAAATACGAAAAAAATTCGAAAGTCAACCTTTCTTTATGTAACTTATTTGCGCCAGGTGCTAATTAGTTAATTAAGTCGTAAATAACAAAGTACTGCTCTTATCAGAAAGGGGCGACAAAGGGGAGGGGACATATTTAATTTGAATATTGAGGAACGTCATAATGACAGGGTTTTTTTACAAAACATCTTTTTATAAATATTTTTACACATTTATTTCTCATCACTTTATTTATTTAGAAAATTATCACGATCAGGCCGGTGTCCTGGACGAGGTAGAGATCAAAGTGGAAAACGACGCCGCATTGGGTACCGACCCTTTGGGAGACGTGGAGCAATTTTTGACCAAACACAGTGACAAATTTAGTACCGCTTGTGACCCCGAGAGGATCTCATTCTTACAAAAATCTGACCACGAGACTGTAATAAAATCACGACGGTACGACATTGGTAACTTTGTAAAATCCGTACGTATTGTACGTATTGTGTTATAACCTAGATAATGTTGCAAGCTTTTACAAAACTTAAAGTGACCCCCTTAACTTGAGAAAGCTTAGAAAATTGGTAGTCTGACCTGGTTATAAAATTTTGTAAAAGGTTACGGAGTTTATTTATGTACCATATTACCAAGCATTGCGTGAATTACATTACGTCAGTATTTACTTAAAATTTACCAATATAATCATTTGAATGTGAGGGTTCTATCGATATTTTTCCCCAAAAAACGTTACAAATTTAATTATTATCTTCGTAGAAAACGGAGACGCGACGATTCTCCGCCTCCGCCACCAAGTGACCTTAAACTGAATCGTATTCCTGAACCTCGAACGTACTCTAGAAAACGTACAAAACCCACAAATCACGATATCGCTTCGTCCTCCTCCACGTCCATCGTGCGAGAAAACGAAGTCGTGGACGAGGTATTTGAGGTCAAGGTTGAAGATCCCGACGAACTTGACAATAACAACGAAGAAATTTTCTGGTAAGTTGAATATTTAACCGAATGATTAACAAATAAACAACCCCAATGCTGGAAATTTGCGGACGCAGTCTTTGTATAAGGATAACTTTACTTTCAGGCAATCAAAAACACCTCAGGAATCGCCCCCTCCGGAAGTAAAAACCCAAGTAAGTCCAGTCCAAGCTGAGCAAGTACAAGTATTCATGAGCGCCACCCACCACCCTTAAAAATTTAACGCGTGTCGAAATCATTTGTCACATTCACATTATTCTCGTTGCACGCATCGTCAGCGGTCAGGGGACGTGCATAACTCGAGCTTGCTATGGTCCATTTAGAAAAGGTAGAACATCGGCCAATGTTAATAAAAATGAAAGGCTAAATGGCCGACCTCTCCATAAGTAATAACATGTGAAGTTTCGAAATTAATTGTGCGGCCAGTTGTTGATGGATTTTCAAAATGGCGCCCGTTTTGGAAACCTTGGACCCTTGCGCGAAATACATATTTTCAAATTTTTGAAATTTGACCCCACCCACCAGTTATCCAGGTCACCAGGTCAAAAACATGAAGTGACACTTTTATATCGAATTTCGAAATTCTATGTCGGGTTTCGAAAGATCTTGGTACAATTCTTGGCGGATAGTCAGGTCAACATATCCAGCGATTATCTGGCCGCACCCCCTCATTACAAGTCAAAGTGGGAGTGGTCAAAGGACAAGTTCGACAAATTAAAGTAGAAAAAAATTTCCTAGCGTCGTGATTTTCGAAATTCAAGATCGCCATTACACATAATATTGATGCTGCACCCCATCCTAACGACAGGATGTTATCGTTGAACCCCTGGCGACAAAGGGGTGTGGCCATTGGCGCTTCTGCGAATACCCAACTAAAGTACGTCATGCGACATATCATTCTCTCATACACTTTGTATACTGTCATCCCATCGAAGGGTGATCTCAAAAATTCAAACCAGAGGTCGACGCCGACAAATTTTCGGCGGCACCGGCGCTAGTTTTTGGTGATTTTTTCGGCGGCGTCGGCGGCGCGGCGCGGCGTCGCAATGTTAAAGGTATAGGAAATTAAATTTTTCGGCGGCGGCGGCGCGTAAAATTCATCGGCGTATGGCGGCGCGGCGGCGTGAGATCGGCGGCGTCGACCCCTGATTCAAACATTGTTTTCCATATTTTACATATTTTAGGGGTTTCGTACATATACATATTTTCATACATATTTTGAGGTTTTTTACGTACATGCACATATTTTCCTACATACTCAAGCCTTTTTCTAAAAATAAATACTTGAATACATATTTCGAGTTTTTTATGTGAAAATATTTTTTTTTATTCGGAAGTTAAAGTTTTGTCAAAATTATATTTTCATGATAATGGTGTTCATGTGAACGACTAGCAAATCCAGTTTGCCCCATTTTTCAAGTAAAAAAATTACCCCTGAAAATTTCTAAATGTAACTAATGTCGCATTATTGGTTATTAGATGAAGATTAAAATGAAATATTTAATAATTCGTTGATAAGAGTGTTAAAACGTTGAAAGGTTTGGACAATTAAATTTAAATAGGGTAGAAAATTGCAATAGAAAAATATGCTTTATGTGCATATTTTGGTGTTTTTTAAGCACATACTACATACATATTTTGAGGAATTTAAGTACATACATATCCGCCCTATGCTTCTTATCTTCTAATATTTTCTTTTTGGCTTCGACGAGGGACAGAAGTAGTTTTATTTCGAACGTCGTGAACGTTGTTCGTTTTGACCCAGTGGGAAAATTTTTATTTGGTGCAATACTGTCAAAATCATTATCCGGGGTGGGGGTGGATTTGGTGGGGGTGGGGGTGGAATTATAAATGCCGTAATAGATAAGTAATTCCAATTTCTTAAAAAGTAGGTATAAAATATGTGACACGGGAAAACAAATTGTGTTTGAGACATGAATTCCTAGAAGCTTAAGTCGTTATAGGTTATGCAGCCGTTTCCATGAAGGTTTAGATTTCAAATCAACAGACTTTGCATTGGGTAATTGCAAGTATGTCCATTCTTTTCCAGATACATATTTTGCGTGCTTTGGGTTGATCGAATATTGTCATTTCCCCATAATCGATTACGTTCTTCACGAGTTCCGAGAAGCTTAAATACTTCTCAGTTACGTATCGCCTTTCCACGAAGCTGCAGAACTCATTATCATCCAAAATGGATGAATTTGTCATCCATACATCAAGATAACTTGTGTAATAAAATGAACATATGTATATGTATCGTGGCGGCCGAGCAGCGGCCGTCACGAGTTATGTCTTGTGTACAAGCCCGTGGACGAAATCTTGAGAAAGAAGTTGTGATTTCTAAACAATATGAATACCTTGTCAATCCATAAAAAATTCTAACAGATAGCTCTAATACTTTGGGATTTATCACCGTAAATGCATTCACGAGAACTTATGACCCCACTATGTACTTAAAAATGTAGCACTGTCTGCATGAACAAAACCTTGCTTCACTTCATCTAAACTAATCTGAGATCCAAGAAAAAGCACAGCCGACTGTGGTGAACGAATTTCCCTCGTGGAAATTCCTGATATGATCCCAGTATAATTTTAAGGAGTTTAATGAATATTACACAAACTACACCTATATAAATTTTCACTTTCTTCGTCCAACAAACCAACCCTCTTAATGCCAGCAATTATTTTTGTCGAGGTCCAATTGATGGGACCAAGCTGCCAAACAGATGATCCTCCAGTGAGCCAGCAAAGCAGTCAGGAAGTTGGCTAAGGAGGTCATCGTCAAAGTCGTCTTCTACAATGATGTTAAAATATTTAATATTTTAATAAAAAATGGCAACCGTTATATAATAAAAAAGTTAATATAGTTGGCTCAAATAAATAGAACTCCTTACCTTTAAACGTGGCCAATAGTCCTTCAAGTCCAACAGTCTGAAGAACTGATTCCAACAACTCCGTCATTTTTTAAAATCCAATTTTATAATACTTTTGAAGAAAAGTCACAAAACTGAGCTGAGGAGGGGAGCTTCCGAGGTTGATAATAACAGATCTGCTTGAAATTTTTACCAATGATACTTTGGGATGAGTAAACCTTAACCCTTGAAGCTTTTGATGCCATGGCCATAAAGAGCTGAGAAATTAATTTCAAAATTTTCAAATTTTCGGGTAGGGAAATGTATCAGATTACTGGGCACCTGTCCGCAAGATATCTCCAGAATAGATGAATATTTTTGAAAACGGTTTTCGGCAATGTATTTCTAATTTTCGGGGGTGGACAAGTTCGATCATGGAGTCAGTCGGACCACCCCCCCTTAGCGCCAGGGGGTGTGGTCAAATACCATTTTGGAATTATTTTTTCTCTTTTCGCATGGATGGCACCCCATGTCACCCTATATTATAAAAAAATTATTTCACCTAGCTACCACACCCCTTCAACTCAGGGGGTGTGGTTATATCGAAACAGGTTATGGTTGAGGAATCAAAATTAAGCACTTTTTGTGCTGAGAGGCTTATTGGCGTGTAATGCTTAATAACATTTAAAATTGAAATTCTTATTACTTTTTCAATTGTTGGTCGATTTTCAAAATTGCGACTGTCTTGGAAAGGTCAGACCCATTGTCGAAATATATATTCCCAGATTTTTGAAATTCGACCACACCCCCTAGAAATTAAGGTCACAATTTAAAAAAATAAGTAAATTACAATTAATTAATACAGCGGAATTCTAAAGCAAAAATCGAATTGCATGTTGAAAAACTACGTCGACCCCCTGGTCACCTTACAAAATGTTCAAGTGGTCACATTCCCCACCCCCAGTGGGTGTGGCCCTCGGTGCCTTTTCGATTTTAACGAAAACATAGGTTGCGACATATCATTTTTCTCAGCTCGATCAGGACATTACCACTGAATACTTAAAATTTCCGAACCACACCCCCAGTGGGTGTGGTTCTCAGTTACTTTCAAACTTAACTGAACCATGTCGTGCGATATGTCATTCTTTTCAGCTTGACGAGGGGGTCTCGACGGAATACCTCAAATTTAAAAAACCACACCCCCAATGGGTGTGGTCGTGTGCGACTTAAAATTTATTAACAACACCCCGATTGTGTGTGGTTAACAATGGGTTAAGAAAAGGAGGTAAAAGTTTCTTTTCATTCAACTACTTACTCTTAGAAAAACAGCATTACAATAATATTAGGCGGTGTTCATACATATATGACTACCAACGTGGTATTGATAAATAATACCGTGTAGTAATAACCAGGTATTAAAATTTTACAATAGTTATATCAGCATAATTTCAATACCAAGTTGCACCAACTTTGATACCGAGAAATCAATATGTACCTGCGTAACTATGCCATATTTCTAACAGTGCATCGTAAAAGGTAATTAAATGAAAGTAGTTAAAAAGCAGTTAAAAATAATTTGAAGTTAGAACAGTAGAATGTAGTTGAAAACGTAGTTGTGCGATCAAAGTAGTTTAACTACATTCCGGAGTAGTTACACATTTTGGTCTGGTTTTCTTCGTGACTTTTAATTTTGTGGAAGTTTTAGGACTTGGGGATACCTTGTATCTTTTGTAGTGTAGGTTTCTATTGGAATTTAATCATTCAGCTGAGAATTTCTTATGTGGCTGAGTAAAATTATATTGTATTTTTCCTTGACATTTTAGGGCCACTGAAATTCCAATCGCTGGGGAGTGATTTCCAAAAATTAATTATTGGTTCAATACACTCCGTTGATTTGAAAAAATGGTATCGTCGTTGAAGCTGCCAAAAGAGCCAAATCCATTTTATGTCAATTGCCAAGAAAGCCAAATCCATTTTGTGTCAATTGCCAAAAGAGCTGAATCCATTTTGTGTCAATTGTCAAAGGGTCCAAGTCCCCTTTTGGGGGGTACTGAGATTTTAGGGTCAATGCATTCTACACAATTTTCTGAACAAGGTAAGTCCGACCAAATTTTTTTTTAAATTCTAAAACGTTCAACATAAATTTTGAAAGCGAGAGTAATTTAGGTGGAAATTACGCCGCACGAACTGAATCTGTGATTCTACCGATTCCGGTGGCCTTTGAATATGTTGTAGTACTACTGTTCATAATATTAATAGTCGCAATTTCTTGGAAAATTTTCTGAGAGGTTACTTGGTTGCTAATTGAAAAATAAATAATCTGCAAGGTAACCTTTCAGAATTTTTTGCGACTAATAATACTGGATGAACAGTAGGTGAGGGAAGGGAAAGTGAAGGAGGGTTTTACTCCATTACACCGTTTGCGTCTGTTACACCCCTCAAAGTGCGAGAAAAATCTGTTTGTTCCAGTCTAAACCTTCACCGAAAATCAAAATTGTGTAGAATGTGATGATTTCTTACATTGTCTCCTATGTAAAAAGTGGTAAATATACTAAAAACAGTTATACATTACACTCATTTGTTGTTACGAATTTACTTGAGTGAGCAAAAGTTGTCTGCATCTCCTCAATTATAGCAATATTGAGTTATAAATGCATCTTTTGTTTTTATGCTCTCCTGACAAATTTTGTTTTGGGATTCAGCCCCTTTGGCAATTGACACAAAATAGATTTGGCTCTTTTGGCAGCTTCAGCGACGATATATCACATAAGGATGTGTCAAATCCGAAAAGTCGTTCAGAACCGCGCCCAATGGGGGTGTGGTTTGGAAATTTTTAGTATCACTCGAATCCTCTCGTCGCACTGAGAAAAATGATATATCGCATGACCTGGTTTCGTTAAAATTGAAAAGCCGCACACGACCACACCCATTGGGGGTGTGGTTTTTTAAATTTGAGGTATTCCGTCGAGACCCCCTCGTCAAGCTGAAAAGAATGACATATCGCACGACATGGTTCAGTTAAGTTTGAAAGTAACTGAGAACCACACCCACTGGGGGTGTGGTTCGGAAATTTTAAGTATTCAGTGGTAATGTCCTGATCGAGCTGAGAAAAATGATATGTCGCAACCTATGTTTTCGTTAAAATCGAAAAGGCACCGAGGGCCACACCCACTGGGGGTGGGGAATGTGACCACTTGAACATTTTGTAAGGTGACCAGGGGGTCGACGTAGTTTTTCAACATGCAATTCGATTTTTGCTTTAGAATTCCGCTGTATTAATTAATTGTAATTTACTTATTTTTTTAAATTGTGACCTTAATTTCTAGGGGGTGTGGTCGAATTTCAAAAATCTGGGAATATATATTTCGACAATGGGTCTGACCTTTCCAAGACAGTCGCAATTTTGAAAATCGACCAACAATTGAAAAAGTAATAAGAATTTCAATTTTAAATGTTATTAAGCATTACACGCCAATAAGCCTCTCAGCACAAAAAGTGCTTAATTTTGATTCCTCAACCATAACCTGTTTCGATATAACCACACCCCCTGAGTTGAAGGGGTGTGGTAGCTAGGTGAAATAATTTTTTTATAATATAGGGTGACATGGGGTGCCATCCATGCGAAAAGAGAAAAAATAATTCCAAAATGGTATTTGACCACACCCCCTGGCGCTAAGGGGGGGTGGTCCGACTGACTCCATGATCGAACTTGTCCACCCCCGAAAATTAGAAATACATTGCCGAAAACCGTTTTCAAAAATATTCATCTATTCTGGAGATATCTTGCGGACAGGTGCCCAGTAATCTGATACATTTCCCTACCCGAAAATTTGAAAATTTTGAAATTAATTTCTCAGCTCTTTATGGCCATGGCATCAAAAGCTTCAAGGGTTAAGGTTTACTCATCCCAAAGTATCATTGGTAAAAATTTCAAGCAGATCTGTTATTATCAACCTCGGAAGCTCCCCTCCTCAGCTCAGTTTTGTGACTTTTCTTCAAAAGTATTATAAAATTGGATTTTAAAAAATGACGGAGTTGTTGGAATCAGTTCTTCAGACTGTTGGACTTGAAGGACTATTGGCCACGTTTAAAGGTAAGGAGTTCTATTTATTTGAGCCAACTATATTAACTTTTTTATTATATAACGGTTGCCATTTTTTATTAAAATATTAAATATTTTAACATCATTGTAGAAGACGACTTTGACGATGACCTCCTTAGCCAACTTCCTGACTGCTTTGCTGGCTCACTGGAGGATCATCTGTTTGGCAGCTTGGTCCCATCAATTGGACCTCGACAAAAATAATTGCTGGCATTAAGAGGGTTGGTTTGTTGGACGAAGAAAGTGAAAATTTATATAGGTGTAGTTTGTGTAATATTCATTAAACTCCTTAAAATTATACTGGGATCATATCAGGAATTTCCACGAGGGAAATTCGTTCACCACAGTCGGCTGTGCTTTTTCTTGGATCTCAGATTAGTTTAGATGAAGTGAAGCAAGGTTTTGTTCATGCAGACAGTGCTACATTTTTAAGTACATAGTGGGGTCATAAGTTCTCGTGAATGCATTTACGGTGATAAATCCCAAAGTATTAGAGCTATCTGTTAGAATTTTTTATGGATTGACAAGGTATTCATATTGTTTAGAAATCACAACTTCTTTCTCAAGATTTCGTCCACGGGCTTGTACACAAGACATAACTCGTGACGGCCGCTGCTCGGCCGCGGCACGCGCCGTTTTCATGTGAAACGTCTTCCACACTTTTCCCCATTGGAGAATAACAAAAAAATTAAAAAATGGCCAGACATTTGCTCTACAGACGTCTGACATTCGTTTGAGTATGCGGAAGATAATAAGAAGGCATCAAGAAGGTGTGAATGTGAGCGAGTTGGCTGTAGAAAGCTAATTTCTGTTTTTGCCGCAAGGAGTAAAGGTTCAAGCCAAGAATTATTTTCAGGGTGTCCCACAGCGAAAAGTTAATAACCTGAACCCTGAAGCCTCCGAAAATCAACATTAGACCTTTCAACAAGAATCTACTCCTGCGCAAGGTGCAAAATTGTCCAAAACTGGCATCAGACGCTTTTTTTATTACTTTTTTCATCCCTAGAACGGTGCTCAGCATCTGCACACCTTTATCTCCTAAATTATGACTTGTGGTCAAAATTATAGATACAAGTATGTTCTAAATCTCACACAAGGGTAGAAGGCCTAAGGTCATTCTTACTGAAGATCTGATCGCTTTTCCAACGAAAACCGTTCGTGCCGCGATCGAGCTGTTTCCGTCACGAGTTATGTCTTGCGTACAAGCCCATGGACGAAATCTTGAAAAAGAAGTCATGATTTCTAAACAATATAAATACTTTGTAAATCCGTAAAAATTTCTAACAGATGGCTCTAATACTTTGAAATTTATCACCCGAAATGCATTCACGAGAACTTATGGTGGGACTATGGATTAATGATTTTTTAGCGATGGGTTTTGTACCTGTCATAATTTTGTATATAATTATAGTTTTAATTTTATTGAAATAAAAAATTTACTCTTATTATTCTGAACGAACCAAATGATAATTATTCTAAGAGAATGTGTGAATAATACTTATAAATTGAGAACAATTTCTTCAACTGTTGGAAAAGTATCACTCAGGAAATGAGTAAAATTTACTACATAATTGGTAAAATTTTAGTTACTTGATGAGTTATTTTTACTCAACTATGGTGCAGGATCTAGTTACCCCATTTCTCATTTGACCAACTAGTTGGACAAAACTTACTCAACTATTGTGCGATTGGATTAACCAACCACAGAGTGTAGTTTTTACACAAGAGTTGTGTCATCGCATTTCGGCATCAACAGTTGAGTAAATTCTGATCAAGGTTGGATAAATTTTCACCAAATTTATTTAGCGTGTAGGACAACTCGTTACACAAAAAATATTATTTATTATACGCTAAAAGATTTACTGATGTATACTATATTACTATATCATTGAATAACGTCATAAATCCTTTTCATTGCAAGTAATTTTTCCAAATTTTTGATTTATGAACAACTTACACAAGTGGGAAATCTAATTAAATTCAGTGTACATAAAAGCATTTACTCCTAACTCTACCATAAAATTTGATTAATAGTTGAATGCGAAATTTTAGTAGCGTACATAGCAACTAAGGAATTCGAACGTACTACAATTGAATCTGGGGATTATTGCATAGAAAACTAGGTTACAAATACTCCAAGTTGTATATCTAAAAACCGCTCATTACAAGTGAAAACTTCAATCCAGCATGTGTGGACATTTATATATGTATTGTTGAACAGCCAAACATTGAGGTCCTGTTTACATACGTCTCATCTAACATAATTAGAAAAACACAATTTATCCTTACATATTACACAACTGACGACGTGTATTTATATTTCCATCAACCTTCAAACACCTTACCCTTGTCGTCGCAAAAAATAAAACATATTTACTTCGCAATGTTGTTGAGGTTACTCCCAATATTCCTCACAATTTTTGCATCTATCTCAAGAACGCAAACCCTCATTTGATAATTTCCTTCAGTTATTTACTGGTTGCTCGTTAGAAATTTTTACGAGCAAAACTTCCGACTATGACGACACACGTTTCTGGATATCAGACGCCAGGTTCATGATTCCAAAGTCGGTTAAGGACATTATGTACGGTTAGTCTCTGCAGCAACGATGAATCAGACGGTAGCGAAATATTTATTATCCCAGAAAAGAAATCTGAAGTCCTTAGTCTCAAAAGATTATTGCCGAATTGGGTTTCTTGATTTGCAAGAAGGGCAGAAAATGGATATGTCGAACAGCGCCGTTATTCTACTACACTTATTGTATCAAAATCCACAACCTCACCATGTCTTTATCCGTAATGGGATCCCTGCACCAGAGGTCAACGCCGCCGATTATACGCCGCCGCGCCGCCAGACGCCGAACCGTTTTGACGCGCCGCCGCCGCCGTGAAAATCTGGTCGGCGCGCCGTCGCCAGTATTCGGCCGCCGATTTACATTTAAATCTGATGAATTTTTCAATTTAGTGTATTTTTAAATATTTTTTAAACTTTTTAAAATTCAAACAGTTTTTCAAATATTATTTTTGTTTGACTTTGAATTTTAAAAATTTTCGTATTGAAATTTACCAGATCAGATTTACGGTACCATCAAATTCAAGTTGACTACTTGACGTTCCAGGAAAGAAATAGGGGCCAAGACTTATTATTATCTAATTATTATCTAGTTTAAACAGCGTAAATAGGGATGCATCATAAAATTATGTAAGAAATGTTACAACTACAGTATGTAACTTATTTAATGATACGATCGCATTTTCTTTATATCGAGATGATTTCGTAATTTAAAAATTTGAAACTCCGTCCAAAAATCTAAAAGGAATCTACGGTCAATTTCCTCGTCGTCGATTTTTAATGTCACACACAGGTCAAAGGTCAAGATTATTTTTCCGAAAAAATTTGAGGGGTCGAAAAAAAAAACTTTGTGGATAATTTTTTTTAACTTTGCAATATTTTTTTTCGGATGCGGCATGTGTTTTGAATAAAAATGAGCTTTGGTCGGACCGTGTACGATTTTTTTGAAGCCCACAGGAATTTTTCGCCAAGGAAAGGTTTGAGGTCTAAAATCGCCACCGTGGCGAAAATTCGAAAACTGAAATATACGTTTTCATATCCAGCCTATCTGTATGCAAACGTATATTTCAGCCTTCGAATTTTCGCCACGGTGGCGATTTTAGACCTCAAACCTTTCCTTGGCGAAAAATTCCTGTGGGCTTCAAAAAAATCGTACACGGTCCGACCAAAGCTCATTTTTCTTCAAAACGCATGCCGCATCCGATAAAAAATATTGCAAAGTTGGAAAAAAATTATCCACAAAGTTCTTTTTTTCGACCCCTCAAATTTTTTCGGAAAAATAATCTTGACCTTTGACCTGTGTGTGACATTAAAACTCGACGACGAGGAAATTGACCGTAGATTCCTTTTAGATTTTTTGACAAAGTTTCAAATTTTTAAATTACGAAATTATCTCGATATAAAGAAAATGCAATTGTATCATTAAACTAGCATCTAAAATATTATCTTGTTCCTGCTAGTGCAATGCTTGTTTAATCCTTTAAGTGTTTCTTTTCTATTTTTGACAGGCTGTCAGGCTTCCCAATAAATTAATTTCATACCAATTTCTCAATTTCTGTTTTTATTTTACCTGAGAACAAATGACATTCTTCCTACAGTGAATTTCCCGATTTTAATGTCCAAGTAGACTTGAGGATTCTTAGGAGTTCTGACAACTGGTCCAGGTGTGACGGCGCCCTTTACACGAATAATAATATGGAATTATATCAAAAATATAACTGTTATTTGTGTTTTACTTGATACATAGTGCTTGTCCTCTATGTCTACGTATTATAATAATACCTCGGTGTTTGATTTTTCTTTCACATCTTCAGGGTCACCTTCTTTATCTTCATTCGCCGCATCCTTAGTGGGATCCTTTCCGACACCCAAGGTTTCTCCAGCATGCTTTTGCAGCCAGCTATCGTCTTGCCAGACAGGCCGAGTTGAAAATTCTCTAACTTTCATGGGCTTGGCCATATTTACTCGAATTGTCTATATAACAAATTAGAAAACTGGGGTCAGAAATCAAGCCAGTGGCTAAATTCTAGTCCAAAATAAGTATAAAAATTATTTCCAGTCATTTTAAAGCAAAGGTTCAGTCAAAACTTGAATATCTCAAAATTTGCAAAAAATTCGCACATTTTCGCATTTATCTCGAAAACTGGCTAAGCGCCCCCCTATTTTTATATCATTACGGATTATTGATCTACTCAATTTTACGCAACTTTTAAGGTATCTAACTTGAAAATCGTTAGAGCGCGAAAAAAATACTATTTCATTGTAATATCTATCTTAATAAGTTACATACTGTAACTGCGTGAAATGAAAAAACCGTGATCTCTGACACAGTTTTAATGAGCACCTCAAACGGTCAAAATTTGACCGTCCAATACTACATGTTCAATTTTTGTCTAAAACTTGTCTGTGCAGGAAGAAACAGTTAATGAAAAGATACATTTTCCAAGAAATATTGCAAATTTTAGATTATTAGCAATGCTAATTTGGCGTGTTGATCCTTCCTATTTAGCGTATATACGTTTAATAATTTATGTAGGCGCCGCCGAAGATATTTGATCACTGCGCCGCGGCGCGCCGCCGCCGCCGACCAATATACATATTCACGCCTCCGCCGCCGCGTAAACCGCCGGCGTTGACCTCTGCCCTTCACCCGTCGACTATCCTCTGCCAGAAGACAGTAGATTTGATTACACATTACGTGATTTTGCCGCCAACATATTTGAAATGTATATTAGGGGAAATACCATTACTATATTGCTCCCAAAAGTTTATTTGGAATTTGAGTTCATTGGAAGGTATAAGAGTTTAAAATCGTATTCGGAATCCCACTCTGACTCAAAGCGAGCTAGCTCAAGGAAGAATTTGGACACTGCTACGAAGCCTCTTTAGGAACATGGATAATCAGCAGGTAGACGTTAGTAACATAATTGAGCTCCCAAAGGATCAAATAGAACTGTATTATAAACAATAGTGGACGAGTCGGATGACATCGACATGCGACTCATCAAAGCCGTCGGCAGATTGCAAACAATATTGGAGGCGTATCCCAAAGTGCAACCCAATTCTCCGCAAGTCAACAACATCAAGCTTCCACGAGTGGAACTCCCGAGTTTCGACGGCACCTTCGAAGGCTGGCAAAGTTTTCAGGACCTCGTTCTCGCCACAGTGGACAACAATAAAACATTGTCGGGGGCACAAAAGTTGCAATATTTAAAATCATGTGTCAAAGGTGATCCTGCTAACATTATTAAGTCGTTTACAGTTACAGAGAGTCACTATAAGGAGGCGTGGTCACTGTTAACCGACCGCTATGACAACAGGCGTGAAATCATTCACGCCATCATCACCCGGATCTTCAGCCATCCAAGCCTGAAGTCCGAGTCAGCGTCTGGTCTACAACAATTGCTGGATGTCGTCATCGAGAGCATCAGATCTCTCAAAGTATTAGTCCGCCCCACCGAGCAGTGGGACGACCTCATTGTGTTCATCATCAACGAGAAGATGGATTTGTGCACCCGGAAAGAGTGGGCAAGATCACATTCCGGGACGGATCCACCCACATTCGACAACCTGCAAGAGTTTCTGGAGAAACACATCAGAGGTATCTCCGCCGGCAGTGTTTCGTCGTCGTCGTCATCCTCTCTACACGGGGAAAATGAATCGTCGGTCATCAGCGCCGTCGTGTCACAACTCATCGTCATCCTCCTCACTACAAGGGGCAAAGGAACGCCGGTCGTCAGCATCGTCGCATCACATCACCTTGTCACCTGCGTTGGAATCATCATGTCCACTATGCAAGAAAAGTCATGATCTACACCAGTGTCAAGCGTTTATTCAGATGTCACCGGGGGAAAGAAGCAATCAGGTTCACAGTCTAGCCCATTGTTACAACTGCCTCAAGGGTCATCACGTGAAGTACTGTCCCAGCAGCAGTACCTGCAAAAAATGCGGAAGGCGTCATCACACCCTCCTTCATTTCAAATATAGGAGACCAGCATCTCCACCATCACCACACGTGGAATCATCAGCGTCGCATTTCAACGCCCTTCAGCCACAGCCGCACACGGCAACCTTGCTGAAGACGCCGTTAGTGCAAATTCGCAATCCAGCCGGCATCTCATTTACATGCCGTGCATTTCTTGATGATGAGTCCTCCTTCATCACAGAAGAATGTGTATCGATCCTTGGCCTTTAGCGAGAAAAAGCAGACATGAAAATCACAGGATTATCATCGTTGTCAATTGGTGATGCTAATTCCAAGGTTAATTTAAATGTGTGCTCTCTTGTTCATGCAGCCAGCTTCGAGGTAAATGCTCTCGTGGTACCCAAGATAACAGCTCCAATGCCACGGTTCCCAATCAACATATCATCATTTTCCTATCTTCAAGGACTTCCAGTGGCAGATCCCAAGTTCCACGAAACTAGCAAGATTGATATCTTACTGGGGGCGGACATCGTCCCATCCATTCTTCGTTCTGGCCTGAAGAATGGGCCGAAGAATTCTCCCATTGCTATAAACACAGTGCTTAGCTGGGTCTTATCAGGAAAGACGCCAGTCCAATCATCCCAGGAAGTCAGAGTCAACCACCTCAGCCTGGATGAAACAGTTTTGCCAAGTGAAGAACTGCCCACCATCCCTCGTCTTACCGAAGAGCAGCAAGGCCAACAGCAAGTACCAAATGCAAATTGCTACCCTCCCCAGCATTCTATCAAAATGACCGACAGCAAAAAGATTATCAACTCCATCTATACAGAATTGCGCGATGAAAAGGACATTGTCAACCTGGATCACGTCCCCTCGATCCCAACTCTCGGCGTGCAGTGGACCCCATCATCCGACACCTCTACTCTTGTCATCAACGCGATGACCAACTCTAACCCCGTCACACTTCGAACAGCAACAGGAGAGACGGAACGATCTATAACAAAACTGGGGGTACATATTATACATATTTATTGGGGGTACATACACAATTTGTGTGTAAGATTCAGGATTCAAAACGTACAAAATATTATATGGAGGGTGGTGGTTTTTAATTTTATCTTACAAAAAACACTATGAATTGTATTTCTATGAATCGTATTAAGCTATCAGATTAATAACTACGAAAAAAATGTGCTACGAGTTGTAGCATGCTAAGAATTGTATGTTTGCTATGAATTGTACCTGCTACGAATTTCATGCTATTAACCGTCTGGCACCCACAAACCTAAGCCCTATCATTTCAAATTTCAATAATTCATTTCTTTCATTCAAGTTTTGACATTTTTTTTCATTTGTATCTTTCAGACATGAACACAATGACCACTCAGCACCAAAAAACTCGTCGCCAACTTCAAACTACGATCCCCATTCAAATCCCATGCACGGCGCGAGCCTAAAAACTCAAACAGTTCGTGTTTTTCTCCCCTGTATGAATGTGTTTGCTTCGTTTTCAAAATTTTCCAGTACCGGTTTGAATGTGGAGTTCGGTGTGCAGTGATGGGCGTCGCCTGATGTCATTTGTTCTAGTTATCTTTACCTTTTTGATTCCTGTACTTCTCAATATTTTTTTTTATTGTCATTCTTCCAAAGAGGGCGGTGTTCAATACTGTCATATTTAATTTCTCATTTTCATATTCCTGATATTCCTGATTATGTATGTAAATCTATTATGAAACTCCTCTCTCTCTTGCCCACTTTGCCCAGCAATTTCAACTTGCTCGGCACTCTCAGGCCAGCCGTCAGCCAGCACGGAAGCCAATATTAGTCACTCTTCAACAATTAATACATGTGTTTTATATTATGTCAAATTCGGTCTTAATTTGTAAACCATTAGATTTCTTGACCAGTAAATTGTAACTTAATATCAAAATTAAAACGCCCCATTGGTACTTCTACACATTATTAACCATCAAAGTTTTTACACCGTTCACAATTACATACATATAACATCCCGTCCAAAGTCACATAATTACCATTCACAGACCACACCCCTCTTCAATACCAGATTATTTTGAGTGTATTTATTCCTTACTCTCCTCTCTAATCTCAAATACATACCGATACATTCATATAGCCATGCATACATGCAAGTTCATCATCACCAAAATTATCTTATCGTGACAAATTCATCTATGCAAATGTTTATTATTACGACGAGGTCAAATAAATATTCGGATTTGTAAACATAATATTCCAGTAGATAATACTATAAGGAGGCCAGGACATGCATATACTTATAAGTATATTCGCATACGTATACATAGTCGGACCAGGTATTCCCGTACCAGCATTTTTGGTGATAAACCACAAAGTATTAGAGCTATCTGTTCGAAATTTTTACGGATGAACAAGGCACTAATATTGTTTAGAAATCATAACTTCTTTTTCGAAATTTCCTCCACGGGCGTGTACAGAAGACATAAGTCGGGGCGGAGAATGCTCGCTCGCGGCACGCACGGTTTTCATGGGAAAAGCGACCAGATCTGCTGTTTGTGTGACCTCAGGCATTCCACACTTGTGTGAGATTTAGAGCATACTTGCATCTATAATTTTGACCACAAGTCATAATTTAGGGGATAAAGGTCTGCAGGTGCTGATGACCGTTCTTGCGATGAAATAAAGTCATGAAAATTCGTCCAAAGCGGTTTTTTGGACAATTTTGCACCGTGAGCAGGAACAGAGTCTTGTTGAAAGGTCTAATGTTGATTTCCCGAGGGGTCAGTGTTCAAGGGTTTAACTATTGGCTCCAGGACACTCCGAAAATATTTCTTGGCTTGAAGTGCTACTCCTTGTGGTAAAAAACAGGTTTGCGTTTTCCAGCCAACTTGTTCGGATTCCCACCATGGTGACGACTTCTTATTGACTTCCGCATACTTAATGGGATGTCAGACTTCCGTACAGCAAATATCCCGCCATTTTTTCTATTAAATTTTTCTCCGACAGTGGAAAGTCTGAAATACTTTTCCCAAGAAAATGGCGCGTACCACGATCGAGTAGTTTTCGTCACGACTTATGTCTGCAGTATAAGCCCGTGGAGGAAATTTTGAAAAAGAAGGTATGATTTCTAGCCAATATTAATACCTTCTTCATCCGTAAAAATTTCGAACGGATAGCACTAATACTTTGGGATTTATCACCACAAATGCATGTACGGAAATACCTGGTCCGACTATGTATATATATATATATATATATATATATATATATATATATATATATATATACATAGTCATATATACATAGTCATATATACATAGTCATATATACATAGTCATATATACATAGTGTATATATATATATATATATATATATATATATATATATATATATTTATACATATTATTCAAGTCATTTAAATATGACTACATGGATGCACGCCAACGATACTATTATATTATGTTATAAAAGAATCTATAGACCACCTAAACGTATTTTTTACATATTTTTACCAACGTATCTATCTATTCTCTAGTTAAAAACATCAGGAATCAGTCTGGAAACCGTAATTTCATTATATACCCACCGACCGAGATCGGCATTAGAAAATTATTTGAATCTTTCGTTCTATAAATACAGTCGCAACGGATTTTCTGGTTCATGTATATAACATTTAAAGTTAGACGTTATGGCAACTTCGATGTATATGCAGCAAATACTTACAAGTATGTATGTATGTATCTTTATTGCATAAATAGCCAGTAGCTCTTGCA